CTCGCACCCTGTCTGGGCTTCTCCGTCCCCAGTCCCTGCCGCAGATTTGCCCCGCAGTGGTAGGAGACACCCAGACAATGCATTTCACCCAGGCCAGAGCCTAACGGGCAGCCCTAAATGCTTAAGCAGCTCTGAAAGAAAAAAAAAAAAAAAAAAAAGAAAAAAAAATGAAGGAAACTCATTTCTGTTAGTTAAAGGTGACAAAAAGAAAATTGGGATCGCCCTCTGGGGTGTTTTCGTTTTAGGAATGAAGAGAAGCTATGGGAATATTGTTAGGACACAGCAGTGGGAGATTTCACCATCATAAAGGATAACAGAGAAGGCAGTGCTAACACACGTCGTTCAAAACCAGGTTGGGGATTCCTGACATCTGCCCTTTTAACAAAGTCTTTATCTGGAGGAGTTTTTTTATGCACGAGGTATCAGTTCTCAGCATCCCAAACCTGTCTTGTGGAGGCAACAATATGCTGAAATGCCTTCACAAATATCCCAACAAAAGCGAACACATTGGATTTACTGTTCTTGATATTTCTAAGACAAAAATTAAACAGACCATATTAATTTAAACAAATCTCATTCCAGACTACATCATCCATACAAAGGCATACAGAAGGGCACAAGCCCCAGAAAAACAAAGCAAAAAAAAGAAAATAAAAACCTTTTCAGATCCTCTTTTACAATTGTTAGCTTGTCTTTCCCTTCGGCTCTGACTCGAGTCTCACCTACAACCATGCAGCTGAACTACACAAAATGCAAAGACACCTCCAGGGATGGAGCCTTTGGACTCCATTTTCTCTCTCAGACACTGCCAACCCCCTCCCCACCCCCAAAAGCCTCCCCCACGTGCCCCACTCCGAGGTCCTTGCTTTGCCAGGGAGCAGCACCCCAGGTGAGTGGGAGCCTGCAACTGCTCCTGGAGTCCGGCTGCTTCCACTCTCCCGGGCAGGAGGCTCAGCATCAGCAGCCTTGGGGGAAGGAGTCCTCTGTCTGTCTGTCTGCTGCGTGCAAGAAACCACGTGTGTTTCGGAGAGACGGTGCTGCTCCCCGCCGGCGTGAATCACCCAGCACTCACAGGGGAGCCTCCCCGAGATGATGAAGTTTGGGCTCTCACAGGCCACTCAGCCCCAGTCTTTCCACTGCCGACACCAGGACGGACAGATGTGGTATCTGCAGGGCACAGGCAGCTGCCCAGAGCAGCTGAGACAAAACCACCGCTCCTGTGTGCTACCAACCACCTCTCAGCCAGAGTCACCACTGACCCAGCTGGGGCTGAAACAGCAATCAAAGCAGGGCAAGATTTATTCCCGACCCCCGCACGCCCAAGCAAGATGCATCCCTCGGAGGGATGCGTGGCTTCAGCATTGCTGAAAACACGCAGTGTTTCGGGGATGGCAGGGCACTTGCCTTTGGGGCAGGGGTGCTCCCAGTCACACAAAGGTGGGTTTCAGATCTTCTTTGAAATTCACCACAGGCTGGGGCCAGCTGTGGTGCTCTGTCCGGTGGCCCATGCGGCCACTGGGCTCTGTGTCCGTGTCCGTGCTACTGCTGCCCAGGGAACCGCGCGGGCTCTGGAAGCAGACCTCGCAGCAGGGCCGGTGGCAGCCGTGAAACATCTCCTCAGAGCTGCTGCTGCTGGAGTCGGAGTCCGGGTAATAGTATAGCGAGCGCAGGAAGGGCTCGGTGGGTCCCCTTGGGGTGCCCTGCTGCCGCCGCCGCCGCTCCCGTGGGACACATGGCGAAGCACCCTGGGACTCTGACCATCCTGGCCATCCCTCTGGCTGGAGGCAGACCTCTCCAGGGATGGCTGGAGGGGACGGTGCTGGCAGGGGTCCACCAGCTATCTCCCCTTCCCTCCCCGGGGAGATACGTGCTGACTCCCCACAGCCCCAGCCGCCTGCCTCCTTCACCCTGTGGCTGGCACGAGGGGACATATGTCCGGGGAAGTGGGTGGAGGTGGGGAGCAGCGGGATCCTCCGCCGCCGCCTCGCCAAGTAGGGGCTGAGGGGTGTGCGGGTGCCCAGGTAGCCCTCCTGGGCCCTCCACATTCCTCCTTGCTTGCCTGGGGGGCCCTGGCTGCCACACAGGGTTCCCCCAGGTGAGGCCAGGCCATAGGTTTTGCCATCCAGGCTCAGCTCTTGCAAGATTTCCCGCAGCTTCTCGCTGCTCACATAGCTAATTTTGGGGGATGACTCCGAGGCCGCACCAGCTGAGATGTCCTGGCCAGGCAGCTGCTCCGGAGGCTGCCCCTGCCCTGCAGGTGTCCTGCACTCCTGGACGTCTTTCAGGCCATGTTCGATGCCGTCTCCCATATCAAAAAGCAGCACCCGAGAGCAAGCAGGCTCATGGCTTACATGCTTCTGGAGGTCCTGAGCATCACTGCAAAGAGGCGGTGTACCCAGCAAGCAGGGAGGCTGCCACCCATCCCGTTCCAGATCCGAGGGGCAGTGGATCCCTGGCACATCCCCATGCTGCCCCGAGCTCTGGGTGCACGGAGCTGCCGGCGGTGCACGGGGGTCGCAACTGCTGTCTGCAGACATCAGCCTCATCAGCTTCTCCTTGGCGCTGCTCACTTGCTCCTGCAGGCTTTCGATCACGGCGTTTTTCTGCATCAAACAAATATGCCTGTCAACCACAGGGTGGGCAGAGGGTATGAAAACACTGCCAATTTGGAATCAGGCACTGCCAGAAAATTAATCGTCCCTCTCTGCATGGAGGGGTGCTCTGAGGCAGCACAGCAGCAGGCCTGCGAGAGCCACAATGGCAATGTGTATGACCTCGTCCTCCCCTGGAGCACCCCAGATGCGGGTGTGGGAAGGGGGCACTGGGGCAAGCAGCTCTCCGTGCTCCCACCCATGCAGTGTGGGCGAGGGAGCAGGAGGCTGCGGGCTTTCCTGAGATGAAGCATCTTCCCTCTAAATTAACCATGTTTAACTGGGCTGTGGGCACCAGGCTGTCCTGCTCTTCTCCCTATATGTGTTTTTGAAACCCTCCAGATTATGCTTAAATTTTGGTGCTTTGGGGTGCAGGGCGATGTGACAAAACAAAGCAGCTCTTCCCCTCAAGAGGGACGAAGCCGGAGGGGGAATATCAGTGCAGACCGGGTCGTAAGGAAGGGCTTCCCACCCTGCAAAGCCTTCAGCCCACAAAAGGAAAGGGGAGAAGCCAGTGTGACCGAGGAAGGCTGACAGAGCCCCGTACCTCGGTAAGCAGCTGCTTCATGGAGTTTTTCTCCCCTATCAGCTGGTAGAGCTGCTCCTCGCTGTACACCGAGCGGCAGCTCCTGCTCGGGCTAGTGAAATATTTTGCCATGTGGCTCATGGTTTGGCTTTCTTCTTCAAAGGCTTTCCACTGCTTGAGCTGGGGAGTAGAAGAGGGCGTTATCCACGCGGCACGCACGGCCGACACGGCGGGAGGCAGGCACAGCTCGAGCGCGAAGGAGACAAAGGGATGGAGACGGGGAGACAAAGGCAGGGTGTGACGGCGGAGCAGAGACGGGTGGCGAGGGGCTGCAGTGTCACTTGGAGCCTCCCACCCATCTGAGCCCTACCCTGTCCCTGGCTCCAGCTTTTAATGCAGAGAGGGTCGGTGGCTGCCTGCACTGCAACGTCTAAGTGCGCTGTAAAAGCCCCCTCCCTCTTCTCCCCCCTCCCTGACGCGGGGACAGACAAAGACAGTGTCATGCACGCCTTCTTATCCCTGAATCACTGGTGACAAGCTGAAAACCAGCAACGCTTAGTATCCATTTTCTCATCTAGTGTCTGTGTGGAAGCCTTGCACAGCCCAGCTCCCGCTGCTTATCGATCTTGGATGAGCAATAGAAGAACAAGCCCATTAGGAAAAACAAGTTGATGAATTAAAAGATCCAAGTTAAATAAAATGTTCAAGGCCCCCAGGCTACAGCAGGAAATTGGTACAGTCAGAGTGCAAGTACAGCTCCTCTGCCCTCCCTCCGAGAGACCGCACGCTTGGCGGAGCATCGCCAGCCGGCTTGGTGCTTGTCAGAGGAGGTTTGGATCCTGCTCCCAAGGGCTGCTCATCTAGTGGGTTGGGACTCTGTAGTTACACTGCATCACCGAGGCAGGAGGGGACCTCTGGAAATCATCTAGTCCAACCACCCTGCTCAAGCAAGGCCAGCTGGAGCAGGCTGCCCAGGACCGCGTCCAGCTGGGTCGTGAATATCTCCATGGTTGGAGACTCCACAACCTCTCTGGCCAATCTGCTCCAGTGCTTTACAACTTTCACAGAAAAAAAAACCCACAACTTTTTCTGATGTTTACATAGAATTTCCTGTGTTTCAGTTTGTGCCCATTGTCTTCTGGCCTGTCAGCGGACACCACTGAGAAAAGCCTGGCTCCCCGTTCCCTACTCTACCCGCATCGGTATTGATATACATTGGTGAGATCCCCCAAGCCCTCTCTTGCACAGATGTGCTCTTTCTTCAGCTTCACCTCTTCCTCCCTTTCTCACCTCATTTCCTTGAGCCCAAACATCCCTCTAAATATTAAACTGAGCAAACAACTGTTTCCTCTCCCTGTAACAATAGGAGCATTTTTCCCACTAACATCGTGGCCGGGCACACCAGGCTGCTCCTGGAGGATGCAGGAAACAGAAGAGCCTCGCCTCACCACAAAAGGCTTCCTTCAAACATCCCCCCCATCCTCCTCTTCACTTGCGGCAAAGCCCAGCTTCCTTCTCCAAGAGCGCAGAGGAGGGGAGGACAGCCTGCCCTGGGGACCGCCAGCAGCCACGAAGCCTCTGAGCCAGGCGAGGCCATCTGGATAGCCAGAGCCTGGCTCCATCCTTGCCGTGGACAGAAACCCTTGGTGGGAGCAGGTGCGTGGGGTATGAGGTGAGGACAACTGCAAAGGACCGATCCCACCATCCATGTGGAGGAGGAGGAGGGCAGCACCTGCCTCGCCTCCACGCGTGCCCTCTGTGTGACTACCACCTGTGGCATGCTCTTGCAGGAGGGTTTCTGAGCAGCAGCTCTGCAACGTGCCTGCGTTCCTTGGAGACTCAGGGGACTTGCTTGGGGAAGCAGAGCCAGCGGGGGCTTGGAGGAAGAGCTGTGCGGGTGAGCCCAAACATTTGGGGAAAGAATCAGGAAAATAAGTGCTTTGGCCCACACGGCTGCTGTCGTTAAACTCCGAAAATGTGACCATTTCCAGCCAGCTGGTGGGACAGAGGTGGCAGCATACCTGTGGGACAAAGATGAAGCAATTGATTGTGGTTGTACACATGAAGATGCCTCCAGAGGTAAAACCAAACAGCAAGTTGTGCCAAGCACGGAAGAAACGATGAACTAAGCAGACAGTGCCAGCAGCCAGGAAAACGAGGTTGACCCCGACGATGAGCGTCAAGGACTGGTTGACTGGCGGGGAGCTGACATTGTCGGTCAGACCGGCCAAGTAGGTCCCATACAGCAGCAGGATACTCTGGAAGCAGAAAAAAGAGGTTTCCAGATTGTGGAAAATTACAGCCTGACAGTGTCAACCCCCACCTCGTACCGAGCCCGGTGAGCTCAGATACACTCAGAGCAATCCTAATTAATGCTCTTTGATCTATAATGCAGACCTTCAGCACGTGGTGGTGACGCTGCAGCAAATGCCTGGCACGCTGCTGCGGGTCAGAAGTGGGGCTGGGCAGGAGCGAAGGCAGTGGTGGGCCCTGGGGGTCCCGACCGAGGGGTGCAAGGAGCCGAGGGTCAGGTCGGCAGGGATGGCACAGGGCAGGGTACGGCTGGGAGAGGCAAGATGTGAAAACCTCCCCTTGGGCAGCCAGGAGCAGGAGCAGCAAAGACAGACAAGAGATGGAGGTCCCTGTGGGGATGCAGTGATGGGGTGCCACCAAGGAGCAATGACATACCTCTGAAGGAGCAGGAAGGAAATTCAGAAGGACATTCAGAAGGAAAAAGCAAGGCAGAAGAAGTGGAGGGTTAGACTGGAGGGAAGAGGATTTACTTGGTGCCTCTTTAAATAGAAATCCAGGAAACTACCAGGTGCAATTCTTCTCCCTTCCCTTTGCTGTTTCCTGCCTGACTCTAGCAGCAGTGAAAGGGGCTAGAGGAGTCCTCCGTACACAGAGGCACTCCCTCCCCCGGAGCAGGTTGGTTGTTTCAGAGCAGGCTTCCTCACGGTGCTGCCCCTCAAGCGTCCCACGCATGCATCTTTCCAGCAGGCTCAGGACTAAACTACCCAGCAGGCTGAATCCCTACTTCCCCAGGGCACACCGGCAGGGAACACCGAGTATTTTTTGCTTGCCTCTGTAGCACACGGCATGGTCTGCCTTCAGGATCATTCGGAAATACCATCTAACAAAATTCCTGCTCCTGAAATGACCCAGAATGCAGGGATCATGACTCCTACATTACGCCTGTGCTACCCAGCAAGTGCAACTGTCAGCCTTTTACTAAGAGACATTAAATTGTTATTTGGGCATCAAGAAGTGCTTCATGACCTGTGGTGCAGATGTTCTGTAGACCCTTCTGGACCCCTTCATGCTGTGGCTGCTTGATGACTGTGATGGCCACTGCCAGGGTTAGGGTCTGGAGGGACACTCTAACAGGCAAGAGAGGTTCACGTCCACGGTCTTCGGCGAGACTCCCAACTTCAGAGCACCGTGAATTCTCAAGGCAAGGTTGCAATAGTGAGACCTGCCTCACTGGGAACCAGGCTGATGCCCGACCCTGCTTCATAGGATCTTCACTAGATCATAACCACATTCACCATGGGGCACGTCCAAATACATGGTCCAAAGGCAAGCCAACTTCTAATCCCTCAGCAAGAAAAACCAACATCACCAAAGTCCCATTTAAAATTCATATAGTCTATCTGGGACACAGACAACAGCACTGCCATCTAGTAAACTAGGACTTTCAGTAAGCACAGGACTAAGGTGTTTGTTTGTTTGTTTTAATCTCGAGCAGAAAACTTTGCTCCCAATTCCAGGCATGTCCTTGGCAAGTAATTTCTGTTCATTGCTCTGTGCTAGTAAAACGAGGCTAATACACTGGACACTCTACAAAGGGCTGAGCACGTTAGTGCCATGGAAGCTAAGAAGTGCTACATACAGGCAGAGATAGAGCCTACTCTCATGTTAGTGTAAATACAAATTAACTCCAGAGAAGGAGTTATAATTCCTTTAATAATAAAGAAATAACTCCATGACCGCTAGTAGGCAAACAGGATCAGGGTCCGGTTCAACACAACACTAACAAAGAGTACCTGGGGCTGTTTATGGAGATGTTTTATTGCAAAAAGCAGTTTGTAGGAGCTGTGGGCAAAAGCATTACCCATCTAAACCCTAACACAAACTGCAGACAAAAATCAGAGGTAGAGACACAGCACTGAAAGCCCAGGGAATGCCTGCAATCCCAAGCACCAAAGGCCTTTTAAAGGACAGGCTAGACTATTGTCTTTAAAATTAAAGGTACAGGGGAGGAGAACTTGGCCATGTCATGAGGTCTCTTTCTGCTCTTTTTCCTATGATTTTGGGTAGGTGGTCAATGAGCATTATATTACAGTGAGTCAGTACAGGAACTGCCTGTGCTGCACGCAGAGGTGGAGCCATTCCCAAAGAAAGGCTGTGATCTCACAAGCTTCATCAACATCAGCTTTCTGAAATGCATCTAGCCTCTGCCAACCCAGAGACACATGAGACCACAGATAATTACAGCGATAATTATACCTACATAGTTACATCAGTATAACTAACTCTTCTGGAATAAGAACGGCTATGTGCAAAGCTACAGCAGTGAAAGTGTGCCTCAGTGGTATAATTAAGCTGATACACATCCTGTAAAGGTAGGCACCAAGCACTTGTTATCAGCACCTCCTTGATTTGGAGTCGGAGGACTCGCGGGCTAAGCCACATAGTGCATCACTGCGGTGGACAGTCATCTGAGGCTTTATGGAAAAAAGGTGCTTTAGAAAACAGTAAGACACGAGTTTTAAGAAGGGAGAGAGATGAGACATGAGGGCTTGCAGGGAGAGAACCAGAGAGACAGTATGTGCACGGTGTACACAAAAAGAGATGATGAGGCAGGCAAAACATGACTAACAGGGCTTTTACAAGGAAATGCAAGAAAACATCAATATGGGAAGGACTGGAGATGGGAAGGCTTTCGAGATGAACAGGAGTAGCCGGAATCTGCAATAGGCATGTAGCTTGGGAGGGGAGTGAAACTACAAATACTGCTAAACAGTTTAGGCTGTGAGACTGGGAAGAGGCGAGATATAATGCAAGAATCAATAAAGAGGTTACATACCTTAAACCCTAAAATGAGGACAAGCCAAAGATCGGAATAAAGAGATGCGCAGGACTGCACCCGGCTCACTGAGCAGGTCATGCCTTTCTCCGTCGCCTAGAAGGCAAGGGGAAGGCAGAAGTGAAGGCTGCTGCCCCAGCCCGGGAGCAGGCACAGATCCATGGGCAGACGGGCGCACGCTTCTGAGCAGGTCTCCTCTGTAAATTCCTAAAGGAAAGGCCAAAGCTGGTGCTGCCAGGGGCAGAGGGTTAGAGGGAGGAAGGTTTTGGCACTCTGCTGCCAACAGGGCTGGTTAAACCTTTCTCTAAAGCATCTGCAGATGCCATGGACCTCTCCTGTGTCACCCAGGTGACCTGAACAGACCTGGAAATTTTGCAGCGGACCCTCATCTCTGTAATAGACCAGACATAAACCCAACCCAAAGCACCCAGAAGGCTTTCTGGCTTGTTTTTCTTTCTATTTTTTTTAAGCAGCAACTCCAATTGCCTGACCATCCACCAACTTTGTCCGCAGAGATCAAACAGGACACGGAGCAACCCTTCACCGCCCCTCCTCATCCCCTTACCCGCAGTGAGATGCTGAGGCTTCGGAAGCACTGGACGGGATCAGAGAATACCCATGTCAAGAGCAACACGGCGTCTGCCAGCACCAACACTGCCACCATTGCCAGCAACTGGAGGTCTTTGATAATCTAGAAACACACAAGAAGTAAGCGTTACCATTGGGGACAAATGGACACCAATAACCTCCATCCCCTTGGGTCTCTTTCTAGATGTTTCTTCGAAGGGATATGTCCATCCTAATACTTCCCCCAGAGTGGAGTCCAGCGGCTCCCCTACATCTGAGTCGGTGACAGCATCTCTGTCTCCAGCTCCCAAACTCTTGGAGACCTAATCAGGCTTGGGGCCAGGTATAAACCCTCCCTGATGGTGTGGCTAGCTGGTAAATGCTATGACAGAAACCAGCTCTTCCAAAACAAGAGTATCATCCCTTATGCCCATATCACAAGCAGAGACAAAAAGGGTGGGAAACAAAAACTGGTAGGATTATAATTTTGCAAGTTTAACACAGATCCCGGTGCCTGAGGAATGGGAGTCCTTGCTGTTACCCCTTCTCCTGCAAACCCTCTCATCTCACCTTTCATTCGAGATGTATTTTTTTTGCCATTGGAAAGTAGCCACTGAAAGCTGTAAGTGCGCTGTTACATGCACAAATTTATAAAGGTGGCTCCCATTTCCCTCCCAGCTGCTGCATCCCCTTCCTTCAGAGCTGCAGAGGAGTACCCAGCACTCCCTCCCTCCCTTCAAGAGGAGATCAGATGCATCTGGGGATGGCCCTACAACAGACAATCTTGAGGATACCTGGTTTATTTTCATCCTGCAAAAACAATCAGCCCAGACCTGGACACAAACACCGGTGCATAGTGTAATGAAGGCACGTGGCCGATGTAAAATGAGCACAAGACCTCACTCCGTGATGGGGCTGGACTCCACGGGGGAACAGGCAGCCTGGCAGGGCACCTGCTTGCCTGTAGAGTGGAAAAGCTCCTGCCTCATCGTGCAGGCATAAATGAGGAGCCCATGCCCAGCTAGGTGTGAAACCAGCCCTGTGATTGTGGCACCCATCCCTGTCACGTGCTGGTTTTATCTGCTACCCCGCACCGGTTTGAGACTTGCTGGCATTCCCTCCCCTTGGGGAGTTTTTGCCCATGCCCCAGGTGCTGTGTACTCACCACCCGCTTGTCCGGCACCCGCTGGGTGAACACCTTGTAGAGCCGCCAGCTTTTCCCCAGGACGGGGCCAAACACCAGGGAGGTCCCCACGCACAGCAGGCAGAGCCGCACCTGCCGGAGGGGCAGAGCGAGGGGGCTGAAGGGGCAGCCTGGGGGCTCACAGGGACACCCCGCACCCTCCCACCCAGGGATGCAATAAAGATGGCTGGGCGTGTGCCTATGGTCTTCTGGCTTCTGGAGGGTCATATCAGATACTAGAAAGCTGACCACAGGGTGAAAAAAATTAAAAGGTGCATATTCCTCTGCAGGCATGCCTGCTGCCTGCCTTTTCCTCCCCACCTGGAGAGGCTCTCAGGGGAGGAGCGGGGAGGGAGAGCCGGGCAGCTTGCGAGCAGCAGGGGCAAGGAGGGTCCCAGCACCAATAAATCACTCGCTGACACTTCCATTAATTAGCCTCAGCCCAGCAGCTGAGCAAGATGGCAGGGTGTGCTCTCTCCCACATCCCACTCTCCCACCCAGGTGCCTGCCCAGTCCTTGGTCTGGCAGGCTGGCTGCCCCAGGTCAGGACATGGGGATTCATCACACAGGTCAGCATTTTGATGAAGATCTGCTTTGCAGCCAAAAAAACTTGCCCACAATCTCGCAGCACCTCTGCCATTTTGGGCAGTGGCTGCGCAGAGCATCCCACCTCCCTTCAGGCTTCCTTCTCCCTGTTGCACTTTTACAAGCCCAGCAGCCTGCCCGCCCTTCTCCCCTGGGGCCCTGCCTTGCATCCCCCCCAGTTCAGCTGTGGTTTGCACAAACAGCCAAGGCCGTTCAGACGGAAAGCATCTGGTTGCATTTTGTGTATGTGGAAACCACAGCCCAGCTGAACATGCCCAGCAGCGAGATGGTGACAGGCTGCAGCTAAGAGAGAGCACGTACAAACACGCGTGTGCATGTGTGAAGGTACCCGTTCCAGCAAACCCCCTGCTCACCTGAATAAGCTTTTCCACTGAGTCTCTGGATGGCAGGCTCTGCTCCTGAATCCCAAAGAGGTAAGCACTAGTGTAAGTCAAGCCACTGCCCAGCAGGGTCACAATGTTCAGATTGGGGCTGGACATCTTCACGATCCTCCAGGAAACAAAGCAGGGAAGGTGGTGACAGTTACTGAGCGTCATGACCTGGCAGCACAGGGGCAAGGTCCCCTTGCAGGGGTGATGATGGCCATAAGGGATGCTGACACACTGTCTTCCTCCAGCCCCTGTGGTTCACAGCTCCTCCAAAAGCTCAGCCATTGCTCCGTGGTGCCTACCCCATCCTCTCCCCTCTATTGCTGGAGTGCTTCACTATCCTTAAAGTATTCGTTTTGCCCTACCCCAGCACTCCTGTGGGACAGCAAGATCCCTTCTTGCCAAAACGGATGGGTACCAGGCTTGCCCCATGGCACTTCTACCCTCTGCATGGATCCACAGCACAGAAAAGCAACCCTGAGGCAGCTTCAGCCAGTGTCTTTATGGGCAAAACCGTGGGAAGCCATGGGCTTTTGGCAGCAAAGCAGGCAGGTTCACCACAGCCAGGTCTCTCTGCTACCAGTGCCCGTGCCAGGCACCCAAAGCTGTGCAGCAGTGCCAACACGTGCTGCGGCCACGCGTCCCCGCAGCGGCACAGAGCCAGGGAAGCAATGACCCACGGTCGTGCAGGTGGCACACAGCACAGCGCCCAGCTCAGCCCCACAGCTTCAAGGACAACCTCTTCTTCCACTGTCAAGGGGCAGAATTGGAAAACCTCACCAATGCAGCCCGGGGTGACTGTCCCCAGCAGTAAGCTTTGGGTACAGCTGCTACAAATGCCTCTAGGAACAGGCTCTTCCCCCTGCTCCTTCCTTTCAGGAGATACCTCTACCCTGAGCACAGTCTCAACTTCAGGAAGCTGCCAGCAATGTTCAGGTTACAGCTTCCCCTCTGTAATTTCACCCCATCACTCATAATCCTGTAACTGTATTCAGGGAGGGAAGAATCAACCCACTGATCAACCTGACCTGTCACCCTTCTCCAGCAAGCCCATCAAGTGAAAGATGTAGCTGCTGCCATCCCCCCACGTGGCTCCATCCCTTCGATCTGCTGCTAAGTCATTGCATTTCTCTATCCCTGAGCTCCTCTTCCTGGCTTGCTGCCTCGCAGAGGCAGAGCCTGGGATTCAACCCGGCTCTCTCCCTCCCTGCCTTCCTCACCATGCCTCAGTCCCTGGGGAAAGACATTCATCAGCTCACCCTCTCAGCTGCATGCTGAAAAAGGTCTCCTTTGCCCGCCCAGCTTCAGTAGGCAGACCCGTATTTATTTGCTGCAGCACAAATAAATAACGCACATTCATTACAGCTTGCTCTGAGAATATCTTCAGGGGTCTAAGTAATCTGGCAATCAATTAAGGTGCCCACTGAACTAAACACCACTCTGCTTCAGTAAATGAAGCGCTTGAGACCAGGATGCAGCTACTGCACCGCAGCAGGCACAGGGCTCAATATAAACCCCTACAAGCAGGACCCTCCTGACTGCACGGCGGTTGTAAGAAGCGTTAAGTTCCTTAACACAACCAGAGCACGGAAACAGCCACAGCTGGGGCGGCACACAGATGCACGTCTCTGCAAAACAACGGCACATAGAGCACAAAGGTTTTGCCAGGTGAAGCTTGGGAGAGGGATGTATCTTGGGGGGGGGGAGCAGTGGAGAGACCAAGGGACCAATGAAGCTGAGAAGGTGGCAAGGAGGCAGGTGAGACCCCCAGAATTGCTGAGGAGGGCTAAGTGCTGGCTGAGACAGTTGGAGCTACAAGGAATCACTGAGCCTTCTGCTTGATCTATGGTGCATTCAGGGGAGCAGGACTTTTCACATCCTTTGTGCAGGCTGAACAGCACCAAGGAAAGCCTGCACTTCACCACCGGCTTCTCTCACCAATGGAGATCATGTGCCCCACCAATATGGACAACCACCAAGATCAAAAAAGGTTAGCAACATCTTCGAACTATGAGTGGCCCAACAGCAGGGAGGATATGTGTGCGTTGTGCAGAGCATGATGGCTTTGCTCATGGAGCTATGCTGCTCAAAGTGATGCTCTCAGGCTGTGCAGTGGAGACCAGCTCTCTTTCTGCTCACTCCTGTCGATGGTTTTATTGAATAGCACCTCTGGGATGAGACAATGCACTGCTGCCACTGTCATGCTGGAGGGCATCCCTGCTTTGTCTTGTCCACAGCTCCCTGCCTTGGGGAGGAAAGGAGCAGTCCAAACAGGACTGTCTCCACCAGTGATCAACACTGGGTGTGATGGAGAAAGCTGCAATATCCCTGGCATTGCCCTTGCTTGCCCCGTGCTGCTCCTTCAGGCTTGTACCCTCCTGACCCATAGCTGGCCATCAGCTCAGAGCCTGGTCCTGAAGGAGCCTGACCCCACTGCTCCAGCTCAGGGGAACTCTCACTGCAGAAGAGGGAAGGCCATACCTGTTTTTCCTGAAGCGAATTGTGAAGACGAGGAAGAAGAGCGCTAGCAGGACTCCTCCAGTCAGAAACGTCCACACAACTCCCAGGAGAGCAGCAGAGAAGGATGGGGAGCTCTTCCCACCGCGGTCAGAAGATGTCTGCGGGAGGCAAAAGGGGTGAGGAGGAAGAGGACACTGCTGGGGCTCCCGGTGAAGGAGGTCCCTACTTGGGCATGATCGCTCCCATGGGTGCTCCTGCTCAGCCAGAAACCACATCTCCCAAACCCCTCCTCATGAGCAGACACCCCAGCACCAGACCATGACCCGCAGGCAGGGCTAGTGAGATGTGTGTAGAGAGGACACATACTCTGCCACTTGCTGGGCGCACAGGAGGAGAGGGCAGTCCAGGAGCCCTTTTCTTACGGCCAACTAGCCAAATTCATAATGAAGCCATACAAGTGACTCATAAATCTCAGAAAGCTCCGGCCATGGGAGAGGGGAAAATGCGAGACAGTTCCCCACTGTCCTTCTCTGGAAAGAAACCTCTGGAGAAAGACCTTGTGGTACTGCAGTTGGTCGCACACTTCTTTGGAAAGTTGGGTAGGGCATCCTTGGCTCCCCCCCTTACCCCTACATGCAGCAGATAACCAACCAGCTGGCTGACGTGACTGGGAGCCAGCAGCAGAGCTGCCAGTCGGTGCAGAAAACAGAGAAAAGGGAGTGGGACAGCGTTTTTCAGATGCGTTATGCAGTGACACACTGAGCTGGGCTCCACCCGTCTCCCAGCTGGCTGGAAACAAACTTGGTCCTAGGTAGGCATCAGCTGAGAACTGGCTTTTGAGGGACGCTCCCAAAGCAGGCATGATGGAGGCACCTCGCTCCTTGCATGCAAGCACCCTTATGGTTTTAAATCTCCATTTAAAAATATCCTCTGCTATCTCCCTGTAAACATAGGATGGATAAAATGATCCTACGTGAAACAAGAAACCTACTTCTGCTGTGGATCTAAAATACTCCAGCATTTTTAACAGGGCGTGCATGCGTGGGTTTGTTCACACATACTATGTGTGCATGTTACTGACATCTTTTTTTTCTTTCTTTCTTTTAAAAAAGCATTACTTTTACTTAACCGCTGGCACATGCCTTTTAAGAGGAAGGAGGAGGACAGGGACCAAGCTGGGATCACACACCTCCTCACTAACTTCTCTAGTGCTAAGCCCTTTCTCAGGTATTCCAGTTCACCTGCATGCAATTTCTACGGCAGAAGACTATTTTCCTGACAGCTGCCACTGCCCCAAACTGCCAGTTCTTCCTTCAAGGTCTGTCTGAGCTGCTTCCAGCCTTGCTAGAAAAAAATCTGCAGGGAGAAGCAAGGCAGTCGTTTCAAACCGATGCCTCGTCTCCATCTTCCCCAGCCAGGTTCCATCTCCTCTGGGTGAGCAAGAACAAGGCACAGCTTGGAGAATTAAAGCCAACACATAATTCTTAAAACAAAACTGTGTCACTGTCACAGGAGCACGGCTGATCCGCAGGCTCTTGCGACTCACATGCTGGTGCCACGCTGGTTGCAGGGCTGCTGGGTGAGGCAAACCCTTGGCTGGCAGAGACAGCCAGACGAGAGCCAACACTGCGTTACGCTGGGATACAGCTGCACGCACAGCTCAGCTGCGCTTTGCAGCGGTGTGGAGAGATCCCTGCGGAGATATTCATCTCCCTCCTGCAAACTGTTCCTCGCCTCCTCTTCCCTCTCCTGGGGGTGTTTGGCTTTGTGGGAAATGAAGACTGCACCAGACAGTGGAGGTGGTCAGCCAGGTTGGTCCCTCTCCCCTTACACCAGGACTCACTGCGCAAAATCCCCACCTTTTGGCAGGAGCCAGGGCCATTTGTCCACCTGCCTGGAGCTGACGGGGCTGCTCAGGGCCGGTACAAGGCTGTAACGCTGTCCTATTTCTGCGTCCTGCCTGGCTGAGACGAGGGTAACACCTGGCTTTTGCCAGTAAGGTGAGCAGGGTGGACTCAGCACCCCGGGGCTCCCACACTTCACTCCCAGCTGCATCCATCAGCAGTATCTTTCCATCTCTGGATGCTACCGAAAACGTTACTGCACCTCTCCCCAGCAATCACCCAGGGATCAGAAACACCCCTGCGGTTTCCACTTTTGCTTTCCCAGCACACCCCCCCCACCCCAACCACTGTTTCCCTGCACATCAATGCTACTTGAAGTTGACGGAGCGCTTTGTTTCCACTGAGCAGAGTAAATCCTGGCCCTAGCAGGGGGAATATTAATTGTAAGGCAGCTGCCAGAGTCAGAGGAGCCAAGCGGCTTACAGTCTTCTAATTAAAGGTCCACGGTCATGCAGGACATGGTGGAGAACTGAGCGGGCCAAGCCTCACTGGTCCATCCAGCAGCTTCACGCAGAGCCAACTGCAACTAAGTGCGTCCCGGTGTCATTTCTACTGGCTTAGTGGTGGGGGAAGGTACCATTTATTATAGATGATGACTTTTAATTAAATCCTGCTCTATTCATATTTGAAAAGCACTTTGAAGTTCCAGGCAATGGGAAAGGTCAAGGGCAGAGGAGGCCATCCCAGGCCACTCCTAAGCAGCTGTCACACCGGCTGACATGGGAGGGCTGCTTGACACAACTTGGCTGTCCTGGCTGCTTCCTCACCTTCTGGCCGACTGCTGGGTGTCACCTAGACAGGGTTTGTGTTGGAGGCCATCCCAGGAGGTGACAGCGTGCTGCCTCCGGCTGAACTGGGATTGTTCGGCAGCTGTGCTCCCCTCTCCATCCCTCCACCCAAATCCGCTTCTGCAGAGCAAACCCGATGCCCCGGAGAGCTCCCCCGCCTCCGTACGTACCACCGTGACGGTGCAGAGCTCCTGCAGCGCCCGCTGCTGCTGCTCCTGGCTGCCAAAACTGGAGCTGCCATCACAGAGCTCAGAGCAGTTGAATCCCGGCTCCATAGCACATCCTCGGCCGTCATCCAGCCGTACCCTCGCCCCTGCCAGAAGGACAAGGGTCAGCTTTCCCCAATGAGAAGCAGCCTTTGGCACACACCGTATCTCCTGCCATCAGCAGGGTGTAGGGAAGG